CTCAGGGCGCTACAGCGACGCCAGAAAAGACTGGGACACCGTCGAGGAAGACGAGCGCGCCCTACGAGCTTCTACCGAGTGGACAGAGCTTGTGACCGAGTATTCTTTACGGAAACTTACCCGTGGCACGGACAAGCTTCCCGCTATATCAGGTATCGCGAGAATGATTGCAGGTCAGATCAACGATCAGTACGTCGCTGGACTTTGGCGCAAGGCGATGATTGAAGGATTGTCATGGGAGTGCACTGAACCTGATCAAGCTGCCACGCATTACCAAGCACCATCTTGGTCTTGGGCATCTCTCAATGGGCCAATTTCGCAGCAGAGCTTCGGCAACTTAATGGGCGATAATGGTCTTGAGGTGACGATTGCGAGCCTCTCGAGGGTTCTGGATTGTGTAATTACACCAAAAGGCGAGGACCCATACGGCGAAGTTCTTACCGGCTCTTTAAAGATGGAAGGATTATTCAAGACCATAGGTCCTGTGGACTGTCACACAGAGACGAAGGTGAAGTTACACCTGAAGGGTATTCCCGGAGCTGTCTCCGAAATGAAGTTTGATACCACAGAAAGCGCAAGGGAGGCGTCGAATGCAACACTCAGCTGGTTTATGCTGTTTCAAATGACCCAAATGCACGAGAAGCCTGGGGCCAAGCTCCACATGCATCAAGAAGGTATCGTCATTATACCCACGGGCGATGGCTCGTACCGACGCCTTGGAAAACTACGTATAGATTATGCTACCTGGGGAGACAATAAGCTGGGAATCAACTTTGAGACGCGGAACGTGGTTATAGTATGACACCCATTTTTCACTGAGTAGAGACGGAGCCCATGCTCTTATGTCACAAATAGATTTTCAAGTAGTAGTCTCTATATAATGTATATGATAAGCGAGCTGGTCACTTTCTTAACCCACCTTAAAGTTCAATTTTGCTCCGTTTTCCTTGCTGTCGTGATGGCTTCAACCTTCCAAGGCCTCACCGTACGTCACGTGACCTCGGTTACATAATCACCGAGGTTCACCTCACTTGCACCCTCTATTTCAGAGCGAGCTTTGTGCCTATTTCCTACTTCCAATAGACAACCGGCCTCTTTCACCTATGTCGATGCTCCTATGGTGACTATACGACACTTGCTTCAAGATGCTGATATCCCTCTTAAAGTCTGATCGACAACTCACTCTACAGAGAACTTCAAGTCCTAACGTTGACCAGGGCCGTATTGAGCCTTCTACTATAAAGAATCTTCGGCTAGTTCGGCCTTCGCACTCGACAGCCCTACCGGTGTTATTTCTGTTGGCTTCATCCCTGCCTCCATTTGTCTGTTGAATGAAACATTACGTAGCCTATTAGCCTCAGCGGATGTAAGCTTGAGCTATGAATAGATCAGTAATCGCAGACATATCGTCATTATCGTGACCGACGGCTTACGAAGATCTTAACACCAGCCACATGGATTACCAATGCAAGTCACAATACCATACTAAGCGACGTACCCGCGGCGACAGCAGCCTCAGTAGCAGATAGAGACTTCGAATTGGCATGTATCACGGCTTGTTAACTCGGACTTATGCCGGGGAAGTACGTCGTATAGTCTGGATAGAGTTAAAAAGTCTGGTTTGTATCGCCGATTATGGATAGGATCTGGTCGTAAGGTTGCGCGGCATAGTACGTGCCAATGTTGCTGATGATAGCCGTAGCCGAGATCAAAATGATTCGGACTTTGATGATAGATTCTGCCTTTTAACCTAAAATAATGAGAGGTTTTCATTTTTTTAGAGGGTAAGGTGGAATGTTGAGCTGATGTGGAACCATGCTCGAAGCATCCATGCCCTGTGTAGGCCGATTCGGAGTCTCTTGGTCTTGGCGTATGCGGCCACAAGAACCCCGATGAAATGAATGCTGAGAAGCCCGACAGCTGCCTGAATGTCAAGTCCACCTATGAAAGAGCCTCTCGCTATCATCAAGGCGCCAATAATGCCCAGTACCTTAGCGAGAGTAACAAAATGATGTATCTATGCAATCAATGGCCTGGGGTTATTGTATGTTGAATAACTGGTAGAAATTGGAAATATGCTAAAAACCCGATGGGAAAAATTGCGCCGAAATGGATGAGTAGCCCAGCCTTTTGGTAGCCGTACTGGTACGCAAAGTACTCTCTAGGGGTAGAGCCGTTATGAAAGACGTTCAAGCTAAGGTACTGGAAACGACCAAGAGTGAATCCGATCAGGACGCCGGCGAATACAAAGAATAGGATGATATTGTAGCCCTTATAGAAGCTAAGAGGGTTATAGACTTTGCAGGCTACTGCCACGAATCCTTTGGGCGATAGGCGCGGTGGTTGAGTTATGTTGAGATTCCAGAAGACGGGGAGTTTGTTAATGTAGTCGATAGTAAGTGCTAGATCTAAGGAAACACGTGAAATTCGATCGGAAGCGGAACGGTAATAAATAGAAATCTAGTTTGATCGTTATATTATTGCGGATAGTGTTTGAGGAAAGAAGAGATATGCCGTATGAAATAGTATAGGGAAAACCCATTCTTCAAGTAACAGCCACCCGGTCAACCAAATGAAGCAATTCGTTCTACAAGAAAGTCGATTTGCCCGATGCTGTCCTAACTACGATGATGTGAAAGCTATATTCGCTGGTTATACGTTGTGCTAGAAGCTGCGATGGGAGTCTGTCTAACCTCATGAGTACTAACATACAAGGTACAGAGATTTGGACGCCTTCCTTGAAGGTGCTAGCCCTCTATGTCAGGACGTTAGCAAAGATCTTTTTCGTAGCCCTTCTTAGATTTAAAATAAGCCCGAATATATGGCTGATTTTGTGAAATAGGTGATAGGCAATGGTTTTCATCTTTGCACGGATCTCTGCTCTGATCGTCCGGATGCCACTGGCTATGCATAAACAGGCCATTAGAGCCATTACTCGATGTTAGAAGGCGCCGTCTCGGTAATTCTTAGATTCTCAAACATCGAGAATGTGAACAAGAAAGGGTTCTTCTCGAGGCCTCAGGGCCGCGTCGCTACAATACGAGGATTCAACTTCGCAGCACTAGAACAGGGTAACGATGACCGCCTGGAGCGCGTCGGACATGACGCCCAGAATAAGTATAGCTTCAATCATGGGCAACGAATAGATGATGTGCTTGGCCTGATACGTCTTCGGAAACGCCGACCGGCCGTCCATTAATGCTCAACCCTAATACGCGCTCGTTTGCGAAACCTGAAGGCCTAGACACACCACTCGCTATAACGAGCACAGAATGACTATCCTCGGCCGGAACCCCTGTTATAGTAGCTCATGTCTGTGGGATGCCCGGCTGGGCTGGGGGTTGGATCTGTCTATCCGTCCAATCTCTGAGCCTTCTGGCCCATTCGCGATCATGGAGGGCAAAAGGCTGCAAATGTACGTCTCGGAAGGAGGCTACGCAACATGGGCCGAGTGTCAGGTATTGATCGTTACCATGCCGAGCCTCCTGGGATGACCAACAAGCCACTTGTCGGGCTTATGAAGCTTTTCTGCCCTATTAGGCCGAAGGGTCACTCTAAGAGATGGCTTTGGCGGCCATTGGGCACAGGTCAATGGTCATGCGCCGTGATATCTTCGGAACGGGTAGCTAAGGCGCAAACCTGCGCGTCTTGTTTCGTTGCTTGTGCGTGTGTTAACATTGCGCCTTTTTGATTGAGAGGCAAGGTCGTGAACGAGAGATGACCACATGGGCCCCAGGTAGCTTAGCTCGATGCGTAAAAAACAATGTTGTATCTCAAGGCAGCAGAAAGTGCTACGAACAGCAACGCTTTTGGTAGGCATATCAAGTGGTAAATGCGACAAGCTCAGTCACTGTGTGCCATGTTGCCGGCAGACAGCATGGTTATCGCCAGCCTCTTAGATTGAGGTTCGTAGTAAATTATGTGGGGAGTTGGGATTCATTGCTTTCAGAACAGTTCATCTAAGAATATCTCCTAGCGAGTCAGGTGACTTTGATTCTGGTTCATCATAGTTCTGGGGTTAAGTTTCCCCGGGCATTCTGTGATTTCGGGTCCATCAGTATCAGCAGGTTTCGTTGTCTCGGCCCAGCTCCAGTTCGGAAAATGCTCATCACAGCACGTACCACGAGTGAAAGAGGCCGGTCCGTCACTGAAACTACGGCACCAGATTAAGGGGTCTGTATGAAAAGATGTACAGCAGGGAAGTCTATCAGGATAGGTCGTCTTCAAAGTTTAATAATCTGTTCCAGATCTTTTCGCAGAACCTAGCGAGCACCCAAGCGCAGACAGAGGATGACACTAATTATTTGGTCAAAGCAAATATGATCCTACATCATAGCCACAAGATCCACCTCCCGTGGTACAAGCCCAGGAATGGCAGCGGAAATATCAGCTTTCGAATGCTCTGCTCCATGGAAAAGACGAAAGTCAACGGGCATGATTTTCAAAATGTCTTTCCAGAATAGAAAAGACATTCCCCAAGCAGAAGCTGGATCTGTGAGTAAACCATTCTCTGAGCACCTACGGGGATAGGAGTAGTCTAAGTTTATGGATTAAGCCGATTCTTGCCCTGGGACATTTTCTAGTCGAACCGAACCCGAGTCTCTCTCCATTGAATTATGAGCAGGATTAACAGCTTTCAGGATGTAGATAAAGTCTTGTTTGTATCCACAACTATAGCAGAATGTCTACCTGCCTTGGAGAATATTTCTAGCTCATCGAGTCATCTAACGTCCTATACGGATGGACAAGGTTTCAGGAGTCGGTGCCAAGGTTCTAATGACTCGGAAACCTTTCTTTCGTTACTGAATTGGAAATTTGTGCTGTGCCTCCTCTAGATTGTTACGAATGACCATTATAAAAGGTGGCGGCAATCGCTCATTCTTGTAAGCCTTCCTTTGCTCATACCTCACCCATTCGAACCTTTGAGACTCAAGCTTCACCACTTCCCTTATCTACCATTACAGCGGCAACAAATTGCAAAAGACTCTTCATCATTCAAAATGCAGTATTCCATCGCCATCAGCGCTATCCTTTCGGCCATGGCTATCCAAACTACTCTTGCTGCTACTGTATGTGTCCCATTACTATCCAATTGGTAGAACGGTAGCTCACGAATGACAGTGCGACGTCAAAGGCAAAAAGGAAAACTGTTGCTGGGGCAAGGGCAACGAATCCTGCCAGAATCAGAATCGGAACAACGAAATCTGGTGTAGCAAGGACAAGGCAAATTACTGCAGCAATGTCATGAAGCAGGGCACCAATACGCCCGTCTCCGCAACTTGTGTAAGCACATACATACAACTATCTTTCACTAGCGACATCGCTTACTGGATTCATTAGGATGCTGATTGCTGTGATACTATCACTGGCTTCGGAACGGGATGCCCCAAATAGATTCATCGGACTATCAAATCAGTTTTCGTGGGGGTCATCGCGAAATTCGTTGGCAAGGCTTCTTGTCCTCTCAAGAAGGGTTGACGTTAAGAAAACCACAAGTCAGTTAGAGGAAATTTAGACATATACCCCCTCGCTCGCATGAGATAACTTTTTTGCAAGCTTTGTACTATGTGAGAAAATACCAGGTTCTTACTGCTTCGATGGTGACATAGGCACATAAGTTTTCGGACTTACACCCGTCGAGGGGCCTCACTTTAATCTGAACCAAATTACGGCATTATCAGTATTCTCGGTAAACAGCACACAGTTTGAAAATGTCAGGGTCAAAGGCTCAAAGGATATCTGTCATGAATTCAGGGGTGTTAGCACCTGCCAATGCTTTCACGGAGCTTAGGCGCCGTAGCTGCGCTGCATCTAGGGGGCACGGCACAAAGTCACATCTTGTGTGTGTGGGTTATTCCACTAGCACCTGCCAATGCTTTCACGGAGCTTAGGCGCCGTAGCTGCGCTGCATCTAGGGGGCACGGCACAAAGTCACATCTCGTGTGTGTGGGTTATTCCAGTCCTTCTCTGTGGCTCTCGCGCGATACGCTGCAGACAACTCTGCAGTGACCGGATATGGCCTGCAGCTGGGCGAAACAAGCTGCAAGGTAGGCGAGCAGTATGCCTCGAACCCCGCATAATTGACACAGTTCGGAACTGAGGGCTCCGAAAACGTGTACTATCCCTGACTATTTGCTCTATCGTGCGAGTTGGCAAGTGCGGTCCTAGCCGGTCCACGTTGCGCGCTGAGAGTTGGCGCTGCTTCGGGTGACACGCTCTGAGTAAGGTACCCTAAGACAATGATCTGCTCAAGCCGTCCCTTGTCTGCACCAAATGTCTGACCTTTTGACACGGGAAGGAAGACCACGTTCAAGTAGTGTTCAGCGTGACTGTCAGCAGAGAGCCAGAAGCATCTAGGTTCCGATGCGGTAATGAGCGACGCCCAACAGCGGCTTCCAAGCCACGCTCTGCTACATATTCCTGCGTGGATCTAGCGATTGCCACACCGCTCCTCGAGAAGTGTACTTGCTAGCTTTCAAACAGTCGTCCGAGTCACCAACGGGGTGGCGCTCTAGGAATGGGGGCAAAAGTGTGGTCACAACAACCACGAACGAAGCCGCCATGGCAGCGACCGGCAGGGAGCAATACGTTGCTTCGGTGGGCTAGGACGGCACGGGCAAGGATCAAAACGTCTCCTATTAGCTCACTTTCGTCATGTAATCAGCTTTGTTGCTGAAATACTAGAGCTGTGTTCGCTGGCCTACCTCCTCAACTGCGTGCAACCGCATGCTGGTCATTGGAAGCCCGGCAGACTGTAAAGCTCTGTTCCTGTTGATTCATCCAACGAGATCTTCAAAGTTCACGCCCTGCTGCCGGTGGGCTCGTGCGGAGATGGCCAGACTTCTGCTAAGGTAGTCTGAGTGAGTCTCCGCGTTTCTCATGACAGGCCTGCAAACCATCCATATGGTGCTTGGCCTTACAATAATAGGTAGTCGATGGGGCAGAGCGAAGTGACGAGTTATCGGCAACGTGAAACGAGTTAAATTAGGCAATTTGATGCATGTTCGTGACCGAACCGATCACTGAATAGAGGATGGTGATCAACATGATGTACAATTTTCGTTCCTATTTACAAAAGGCCAAGTGGCTTGACAGAATATTTAGGCTGCATATCTAATGCGCTGAATTAAATACGACGGAGAGACTTCATGCTACGTCTGGCGGCGGAGCTAACACATTGAGAGTACCACTCATTCTGGAAGACGCAGGAAGTTCCGGCGGCGCAAGTGGTGGCACCACGCCAGCCGCTGCCGCCGCACTGGCCCCAAGCCTGAGCAGTAACAGTCGACAAACTGGACTCCGCGGCGGCGGGCTCCTCAGTGGCGGTCTCTTTGGTAATAGTCTCGGAGGCAGCAAGGGTAGCTGCAGCAGCGTTGCTCTTGGTCGCAGTCTCAGTCTCAGTGGAGGCTTTTTCAGCGACAGCTGTGGAGGAGCCGACGTTGGCAGGTCCGGCACTGCCCTTGACCAGCGTGGAGACGCCGGTGGCAGCAATTGGTTTGACGAGATAATCCTTGAGCTTAGAGAAGGTAGACAGAGCGGTGGTCTCCTTGAGAGACTTCCATGTACCGCAGGAGGAATCAAGGCTGTTGACCTGGCACGCACGGCCGATAGAGGAGATACAAGAGCTGGCGGAAGAGGCGTCAGGGACGTTAAAGCTGTTAGAGTATAACTCGCCGTCGTAGGGAGTATTAACAGACTCAAAAGCATTGCCCTCGATGAGGGAAACGGTGCCAGAGTAGAGTTCAAAAGCGTGGCCCTTCATGTCAGAAAACAGATTATTGGTCGCTTGGAAAGTTCCCTTCTCGCCGAGCTTAGGAGAGCGGCCGGACACGTCGTGGAAGTAGTTGCGATCGAGGGTCATTTGGTCGCCGTTACCATTGAGCATCATGGTCCAGTAGTGGTTGCCGTTGCAGGAGGCAGAGGTAGTGGTGATACCGTCGAACTCATTATTGGAGATAGTAACGCGGGAGCCGTCGTAGTGGCTGACGATGAACTGGCGGCCGATGAGGGAGATCTTGTTGTGATCGATCCAGACACCATCATTGCCTCCCTACCAAACTGTTAGCAACTAACATAGAACATTTTGAGAAATCTGCTGGTGCCTTACCTGAAGATCGATGGCATCACCTCCCCAAACAACACCAGGATTAAGGTTGGTGATAGTGATACCCTGGATGATGACGTTCTTGGCGTTCTTCTGAATGCGGAGTCCCTTACCAATGAGAACTCCCTTGCCGTTGGAGCCGATGATACTCTTGTTGCTTCCGACAACCAGAGGCTCGGTACCAGCAACGTCGTAAGTAACAGTAGCGACGACGTTATCACTAGTTCCGCAAGACAGGTCTCCAAGAAACAATTGTCCACCTTTCGCGGAGCTGCAGCTCTTGCGGTCGCACCCAGCTCCTGAAGCCGACTTACCGGTAAAGTTGTACTCTTTGTCGATGACGATGGTGCGGGCGGTGTTATCGGAAAGCCATTCAGCCAACTCTTCAGCAGAGGATGGGGTAGCAGCGGAGGCGCTACCACCTCCAGTGACGCCAGTGGCAAAGCCGTAAGCCGCGCCGACAACTTTCTGAGCAGAGGTCGTGCTGGCGACAGCGGTGGCAAGGATGACAGATGCTGAGAAACGCATGATAGCGGTAGGGGAAATAGAAGAGAAACACTGGATGAAGTCAATAAAGGAAAGATGCGGTCACGCCGGCGCGAATTTCGGTCGAAGCTAAAATTGACACCAAAAATGAAGGATTGGGATCATGACCCCGAGAACACTTGGGCAATCCATCGTGAATCTCCATCGTATTTCAATGAATTCAAACAGTAAGAATCGGACAGAGTCCGATAAATTAAGGGGCATAGAGCCCAGAGCACAATTGATCCACCAAACATGGGGGATTGTCTAGTGAACCAAGTCGAAGAAAGAGAGACAATATCTGAATGTAATCAAAAATCCCGATGTCAAGTTTCCTACTCGCCATAGCTGGCAGAGCCCCCGTTCTGGCGCACTAGACCAATATATTCAGGATCCTCCCATTTGAGAGAGAGGAAAAATAGACCAGCCTGGAACTCTCTGCTGCGGCCAGATTTCCCAATCCGTATGGACCAACGCAATCATGATTCCTTCTCGGGTGTTATCGCCGAGAGTAGGAGCCGTAGCATCAGCTTCAATGAAGTTGATACAAATTACTCTAACTCTGAAGCTTTTATCTAAGAAGGAGGGAGCTGCTCAACTCACAGGGACTCGTGAGCTATGGGCCCAGAAGCGAGAAGGTCAAATCATGGTGTTGCTGGTGGAGTATAGTACGGGGATAAAAACCCTACCGATGCAGGGGAAAGAAAAAGGGAGATGGAGCATATTGAGTTTGCCGTGGGTGACATGATGCCAAGGGGGCTGGTACCAAAGATGCCTTGGTACGTCTGCTGATTTCCATTGCAGTTGGCCTGTTGATAGCCCTGCCGTAATTATCCGTACAAAATATCTCACCTTCGACGGAGGCGGCGAAGTGGGGTTTAGCGGCATATTGAAGGCTCGGAAGTGTGATGTGCTGTGGATTCGTATGTTTGGCTGATTTTTCTGGCAGAGACGAATTGGTGAGCTATTCTGAGGATGAATCATATGAGTAGAGAAAGACGCCGGAAAACAAAAGGCCCACAAAGCCAGCCTTCCGTATAACCGAACCAAACGGCGTGGCCATTCAGCGTGACGCAGCGGTTAGCACACCATAACTCGCAGGATGGTGAAGCAATGGAAGCGTTTCTAGCAGATGTACACAGCCTTTGCTGTGTTCCATTAAATTAGGTAAAGGTGTAGAAAAGACTTTTGGGGGGAATACAAAGTCAACGATACTTGGATGGACTTAAGCTTAACGGGTCACCTCAGCTTGGCTCCCATTATCACTATACGAGTGAATGAGACCGTAGATGTTAACGCACGAAGTTGGAACTGCGGCACAGCAGTACAGGTATCATCAGATCAAGAGTGAAGCGGCATGCTCCAAAATCTGATGGAACTAGAGGGGCATGTTAGATGAAGACACAATCGTAAATGCAGCGGGGGATCAAGGTAGTGGGATAGAAGTCGTAGCACTGCTGCCGAAGAAGCGCGAGGTAAGAGTCAAGATCACACCCAAAACTACATCTGTCATGGCGGAAAATTTCAGACCAAATGAGTCTAACCAGCGGCTGTCACTCCAGTAGGACAGTGCTAGACCCCTGATACTCGCATTCACAATGATGAAGCGATCGTACTTCTTCCAACAATTGCCTTTCCGCATGATGTTGCTCGTTACCTGTCAAATCACTCAAGCCAAAAGCCAGCTCGTAGCTGAACCTTCTTTCTCACCCATCGCGCACATAACGTGCCCAGGTCAAGACACGTAACATCGCTCTACACAATCTTAACGTTATCCTGCTCCAACACCATCTCAGGCGCGTGGGGCATGCCGCTAATGGTTTGAGCCCGCTGAACATGAATACGAATGCCGCCGACTCGTGCAGCTCATACCTGAGAATGTACACAAGATCCACCCTTGCTAATTTAGACTCAAAGTAGGTCAAGGCGAGAAGGAGGCGCTTCGGGATCTAGGCAGCTATAAATTCAAGGTTCTTGCTCTACTCTTCAGGTGCCGCGCCGGGTTTCAGTAAGTAAACTCATCTTAACCTTAAGAATTCGTCACTAACCAGTAGGAAAAGTTGCTGTCTGCTCTCTAACCAATAATTCTCGACATATCATTATGCCAGTCGGTCAGTCTACTAGCTGCTCACTCGACCTTCTGGCTCGAGGCCAGGGAACATGCACCTGACACACCTTGAAGCAAGTGCTAAACGGACTAGTAAAAGCTGGTATGACAGCGCTGCCATGGTAAGTAGCAAGGTATCTCCATAACGTTGCCAAAGAAAAGAACCGAACAAAAGAAAGTCCCGGCAGAGGTGAGGGAAAAGCCCAGTTGCACCGCTGTCTGGAAAAAAGGGATGAAATTGAGCAAGCTAATCTGAGAAGAAAATTCACCACTTCAAGTGGAATTTAGTGACATAGCCTTTTTAGGAGCCCTGTAATCATTGCAGAACCATAGGGCACCCCTTGTGTAGTTTGTGCGGGTTGTCGAAGTCAAATCAAGTCTCAGGGGAGCGTGGGCGAGCTCTGCAGTTTGGCGTCGAAGCTTGAATCTTGAATGACAGCCAAGGCTTGGACAGGGAGAAATAAAAACTATGAACCGTAAACTGCAGTTTGAATCTTCTTCTTCGTCTGCCTATTGGCATATTCCTGTCTGTTTATTATTATTATGGGGATACGCGTTTTCGATCAGGCGGGACGCCTCCGATCGTTTCCATTCACCCTAGCCTGTTCTGAACTCAACATGCGACCCCGTGCTTATCTACTCCCTTGGTTTGCAATTTCCTCGTCGAATGCCACGGCATCTTCTGTCGAGGAATGTCTAGCCCCTGTGATCGGCCAGGATTTGGAAGGCGTGAGTGCGACTGAGAAACCGCATCAGGTATTAGGTAGCGTGGCTAGAAATGGGGGGTTTCTTCTTCGATCGCAAGAAATCCTTTGGCGGAACCCGGCCTTTACGCTCTACACCACGCAGTCCCTGTATGAAAGGGGTTGGGTTGCTCAATTGTTCTTTCGAAGCGGAATTTGAGAAAGGTGAAACGACACTGCGAGTCTCGTCGCCAGCGGTCCTTGTGCAACGTGCCTTTGAATGTTGGGCAGCGGTCCCGCCACCGAGCACGAAGCTTAGTATATACACCGACCTAGGTTTGGGCCCTTATGGAAGATCCGATTGATCTCGGGCTGACTCTGGTAGTATGACGAAGGCCTGCAGATCATGCTTGGTTCAGGTAGCATTTCGGTATCAAGAAACAACCCGGCTATGTTGCGGCGCCGCAGCGCTTGCCCCTGTTGACACGTCATCGTCAGATAAGGGTTCCATGGCATCATGATCAGAATTACCAATCCGAACGCGCCATGATACTATACAAACTATTCCGCTGATTTTGAATTCATTATTGCCTGAAGGGGGCATGAATCATGAAGTGTGCAGTCATTGTGGGCTTGGCATGGGAGGCTCTGCTGGGGTCCTCGTGGAAATCGACCACTGATCGTCCTGGAGAACAATTTTCACCAAGCAGCATGAGGGTAGTCAGATGAACAAGGCAAAGAACCTCACCTTTCCGAAAAGCATGGAATTCGAGGTCACAAAAGCTTTCATAGTTGTGCTTTATATATTTGACCCCGCTGAATGGTCTTTGCCCAGCCAAGACTGGCTCCAACGTCCAAGTGAGGCATACAAAGAACCACCCGCCACGCTGAAAGCATTTCTGCTCATCTATACCGTGGTTGCCTCCTCCTTACGATACTTGGCGAAGTCTGGGACCGCTGACGCGATTCGGTGGAGAGAGGTCATGTTTTCCTTATACATCTGATATTGAGAATAAGTAAATAACCACACAGTCAGAATACTTGGGGCAGTTCACTCATATAATGGCGAAAATGACAAAGCCAGAAGCATATGCCGTCATTTCCAGGACGATTAAACATAAAGATAAGCTTAGCTCACCTGTCCAGCCGAGACCTGCTGGTTTCTGGCTACCTGGTCTCCGGTAAGTAGTTCCGGGATTGGTTTGATGACGGTCTCGAAGTTTGTTGAGAAAAAGAAGGGGATGGCGTATCGCTCTTGTCCAGTGTAGTTCATGACTCGGTGACGAGTCGAGATGTAGAGGTTGTTGGTGAAGGCTTGAAGCTGGTCACCGACGTTGACTATGAAGGTTCCGGGCTTAGGCGGAGCTGATATCCACTCCCCGGCTTTATTCGCGACCTCCAGAGCGCGGACGGGTCCTGGTGCAAGAATCGTGAAGACTAATGTCACAATCGTCAGCGCATCTTCTCCAACAACTTTATGTAGGAGGGCGTGTGAGCTGACATTCAGAATCGGTATGGGCATCCAGACCGCGGGCCGCGGCGCCTCGTTCTTGAGGCGGGTAATGGGCCAGGACGCTGGCGCAACCGGGGTGAGATGTACAGGAGGAAAAATAGTCCTCGTCTAGACCTAGTGACAGCGCGACAGACCTGGCCAACAGACGGCAAAAGGCCCGCAATTCTCGATAGTAAGTAGATAGCTGGTCCTCGAAGTCAGCGGGCTCCCGTGGCCATCGGTTGCGGCCCTTCATATACGGGTCGTCGCAAGCATCGTTGGGATCATCGTTCAGCTTCGAATCATGGCCCCATTCGAACGCCTCGTTCAGATCTTTATGCACACAAGTGAGCCAATGCAGACACTAAGGGTAGGTCACCTATCGACATGCTGATGGGACGCAGAGGGGTGGGAGGCCAGACTCACTTCCTCGTCCGTCCGGTCCAGGCTTCCCCGAACCCCCGATGGGAGTGTAGCCCCGGAAATTTGGACTATTATCGATGAATACTTCCATTTTCTGCTCAAATGGCAGCGCGAAAAAAGTCTCTGCCGCCTTGAACACGCCTTGAATAACATCGTCGTTAATGCCATGGTTTTGAATGTAGAAAAACCCGACTCGCACGCAAGCGTCCCTAATCTGGGCAGCAATCTTGCGTCTCTCATCGAAATGATCACTTCTAATACCGGCAACATCGATCACAGGTATCGTGTCGAAATCGCCCGGTACCGCACGCCAGTCGTGGTCACGGTCCACGGCCGGCTCGTTATCGTTATCCCAGTCGTTGTAACCCATGGTTGAAAGATGGATTTAAAAGATTCACAACTTCGCAAATGGGGCTTTCTCAAGAAAACAATTAGTGTGCGTATTAGTTGAATAAAATACTTTATTTCCTCTGTGAAGTAGACATCCCCAAGAGCCCCTGTCGGGCTTGTCAATGGGGATCTGATCGGTGGATCGAGGATGGCAAGCGCCTCCGAAGGCATGGAGCGACGGTTCCTACTGCGGTGAAATTTGTGATGCCTGTTGAAGTCTACAGTATATCGAGCGGCATTTTGCTTGCTTATGCGGGCGCCATTTCAGCGCAGCCCCGCGTACCTTTGGTGCTCCACTACTTTTACATCAGTAGGGCAATTCATAGCGAGGTGGTTCTCAGAGGCAGGACTCTCCGGCGACGTGCTCCTAGCCAAATGAATATCAGTCAGGATTCCAGAGACGCTAGCTTGATGGGAGGTGGCTTTTGAGGCAATTACAAAGGGCCAATTTACAGACTACGTAAACAAATTGCGATTGGCACGATTACAGCGGCGCCAATACAAAAGCACCTGTGAGAGAACGGACAGTCTCTACAGTATTTCTATTGTCGCAGTAAGAAGCCTTACGCATGCGCTTAGGTTATGCCTACAAGGCATCATGGAAAGCTCCATTGTGTAACTCTATGCACTAAATGATACACTGATTGGTGTTGAGGTATTATGGAATGGACAGCTCGGCTCATCTACAGCACATAGTCATTTGTGCTTGTTAAGGAAATTCTCAATGACCGGAGATTTGTTTGCCTTGGTATTGAGTTATGCTAGTGATTACTACCTGAAACCTCTGCCCCAACTCCCCCCAGCCTGTCAAGGTCAAATAGCAGAACTCCATGAGAGAGTAAGACCAGCATCTACGGTTATCTCTTGACCAGTCATAGAGGTGTTCTTCGCAACCCAAACGTACACATCAGCGCAATCGCTTAGGTACGTCTGTCACAGTGTGTAAGACCTCGTGTCCGAACATGTACTGATGGAAGAAAGGCAAACCTCGTGTTTCAAAACAGAGTCGTTTTGCTCCTGAGCAATTTGCTCTTCCGTAAATTGCAAGCCCTGAAGAAACAGGTTAGAAACCAGAGACGCACCAGGAAAGCCTTTCAAGGGCATGCGTACCCATTCTGTCAAGAGCTGACCGGGTAAGATGGCATTCATCCGCAGTTTGGGACCTTGCGTCGCGGCGATGCATTTCATCAGATGCAGGCCCGCTGCTTTGCTGACCGCATACGCCATGCTACTTCCGCTCTGCGTGGAACCCTGAGATGAGAACGGGCAAGCAAGTAAGCCAATGGCCAAGCAAGACGATAGGAGATTACCGCGACGGGGGCTGGCATAAGGCTTGGCTTACCGCTATGGAAGATGTAATCAAATACACGCCACCTTCTGAATTGGCGTTAAAGATAGGTCCGGCGGCCTGCATGAGCTGTAGATGACAAAGAGCATTGGTTGCGTAACACTACTACCCTGTCAGTGAAGATGCTTCGTGAAAGACCACAAGATTCGACGAGAGAATAGAAGACCTTGTTCCACTCTTCCAAGCACAATGCGTTCAGATCGCCAAAGTCGCTGAGCCTCGTCCATCCGGCGTTAGCCACAATGATATCCAGCCCGCCTAGCTTCTCCACCGTTTCCTTGACGATGCGAGCATTGTGGTCGGCATTTCCCGCGTCCTATGCATGAATTGGGTTAATACGGGGCAGGATTTTCGAAATAACGGGGGGAAGAATACTCCCTGAACCATGAATGCCTTCACTCCAAAACTCTGCACCTTGTCCACGACCTGGCGAGCTCTAGTCTCGTTGGAAACGTAGTTGACCATCACATGAGCGCCTTCTCGTGCAAACTTTTGGCATATACGCGCCCCCAGCCCTCGGCTGCCACCAGTGACGAGGACACGCCTGTTGCTCAATGTATAGGGCATGGCAACAAGGGTCTGGGTCAAACGGCTCGATTGATAGTCAAGTGTGGATATTTGAAAGAGAAGAGGGCTCCAAGGTCGATCCTACTCTTGGTATCAAAAGCGCTGTTGTAGGCAAGAGATGCCGCAGAATGCGAGGTAGAAATGTCTTCACCCGCTTATCATCAGTCTCCGTTAGGCCGGAGGATAAGTAAAATTGCCCTCGGACTGTATTGCCTTCTTGAAAAGTCTATCTTCAAACTTTTACAAGACCTGGGCCGTAACGAGAAGAGTGGACAAGTGCGTTCGGAGAGACTTGCCAAATTGCCAAGCTCCCTGCCAGCCACCCATTCCACCCTGCATTACATGGCATCCTAGTTTCGGGCCGGTGTCTTCTACATATCTTTTCTCTCTGACCAGAAACCCTCAGGCGGCTCGGAAGTCACTCCTCCGGCCTGGCTGAACTTTGTTCATGTATATGGTGGCTCGATCGCACTACCCTGTCTCATCTACAGCAATATGAAGGTTGTGTCAATCGCAATGTCAGATGTTCTGGATGTTATCATCATAGGAGCTGGTCTCAGCGGCCTCCAGGCCGCCGTAGACCTACAGAAAGGCGGTCGAACTATTGCCGTTCTCGAGGCTCGGAACTGCGTCGGGGGCAAGACAAGATCTGTGCAGCGGTCGGATGGGAAGGGCGTGCAGGAGATGGGTGCTGCATGGCTCAATGATAGCAACCAGGCGCGTGTTTGGAACTACTGCCAAGAGTTCGGCCTAACGCCCGTCTTGCAAGCGAACCAGGGACTGGTGGCAAGCGAAGACGAAGACGGGACGTGCCATTTCTTCCCTTTTGGCGCCATGCCCAACGTACGTACATACATGCCTCCTTGCCTTTCTTTGTCCCGCCGGAGCCTGAGCTCCGCCGTCTGACGGCCCGCAGTTCTCAGCGTCAGAAGTTGACAACATCACCGCAATTCGAGATGTTGTAGAGGCGGCGTCCTTGGACCCAGCATCATACCGTCAACCAGAGCGCGCCCGGCTCGATGGCATCACATTCGAGCAATTCTGTCGCGATGCCGGGGCCGGTACTCGCGCCCTGAACACCGCCAGGCTTTGGTGCCGCGGCACGCTCGGCCAGGATCCCAACGAGGTCTCGGCGCTCTCCTTTCTGGAGATCGCTCGTGGTGGGCTGGGTATCATCAATTTGAGGTACGACGGCAAGCACGGCGCCCAATATCTCCGCCTGGAGGAGGGTACGCAGGCCATCGCCATTGGAATCTCCAAGATGCTACCTACCGGAACCATCCATCTCAATACCGCGGTCAACACGGTGACTCAAAACTCGTCGAACCTTTGTACTGTCACGGCGAGCCGAGGTCAGGTCTTCAAGGCGCAAAAAGTCATTATCAGTATCCCCGGGCCGTCGTACAAGAACATCACATACAGCCCACCGCTACCGCCGCTGAAACACATGTATGTCACGGCTTCGAGATATGGTTTCTACCTGAAGTACATCTGCTTGTTCAAGAGCCCCTTTTGGCGACGACGAGGCTCGTGTGGTTTGGCACAGAGCTTCCGAGGTCCTTTGAACCACTGTCGCGATACTTCAGTTGACCATGCCGGCAACTACGCGCTGACGTGCTTCATTACGTCCGCTCCTGGGCGAAAGTGGGCATGCCTGAGCGGCGAGGATCGTCGAAAGACTGTGCTCAAGCAGCTGGGCTCCCTATTTGGCGTAGGACACGCGGCAGTCGAGACGGAGCTCTTAGATACCATCACCTCCGAGTGGGTGGAGGACCGCTGGGCCGGCTGGGGCTGCCCAGTGGCCGCAACCCCACCCGGGGTCATAGGCTCAAGTCTCGATGGCGAGATGATTCAGGAGAAGTTTGGTGCAATTTACTTCATCGGAACCGAGCTGGCTGAGGAATGGCGGGGATATATGGAGGGGGCACTCCAGAGCGGAGAGCGTGGTGCAGCACAGGCTTTGGAAGATTTCCGTCTGCAAGATACGAGGCTATAGGCTGCTCGGTGTTCTCAATCCGACTGGCTGGTCTTTAATCTTCTCATTGTGTCGAATGGTTCTGGGCCATTGGTCTTTCCGTTAGGAATACCAGAATATTTGCGAAAAGGCGGAAAGGCTCTAACCACAGCTCTTGAGAGCAGCGGCGACTAGGTAAAAGTGGCCATAGAATATCAATAGTTGGAAGAAACGGACATCATCACAAACCTGAGATAGTCTTGCATCGGATGGTTGTACTTCCAGGACCTCTTGCGTAAATATTCCAGAACGACATGAGCTCTGAGTAGGACCACACATGTGTGAACGGATAGCCGGCTTGTGTACATATGCTCATGGAACCAAGCAACGACGATTAGAATAGTACCACAGCAACTCCAGCGCAAAGTAAGGTTGCTCATACCTCTTCTTCCGTCCTTGGAGAGAGAGAAGGGTAGCTGTAGTAATCCGATACTTCTCCTCATTTCCGGAGCCCTTCGACTCCATATAACCCAATCAACGTATAGAAGGCCTCAGTGGATCAAGGTGAGAATGATAGATGTACAGATCTTTAATTGAACCACCTTAGTAGTCCCAGATTCAACACGCTGCCTACATCTAGCTACGGAGACCCGGTGGATACATCGTCTTCCAGCAGGACTTGAAAAAGCCGGCCTTGCCCACTCCTAACTCTCACCAGCTCTTCTTCCGCCAGCGATCTAGTTCTCTTCTCTCTCTTGTTCACCTATCATTCAAGCCAATCCTAGTGGATTGGAGCGATACATCGAATGGCAATCATGCGATTGTTCAGAGCCATACTGCTTGTCCTGCTACTGTTCAATGGGCATGCCCAGGCACACGAGCACCACGCCGATACATCTTCGGACACCGACGTTGAGAGATTGAAAAAGTTGCATGAGAAATGGGACACAGATGTACGAGACCTTGGCGCGCCATTCCATGACAAAAAGGCGCAGATGGCTAACTAACTTACCTGCCGGCAGTGGCCGTTTTCCGGCATTTCCACGTTTGCCCATTTGCAACATGTCAAATGCTTGACCAATCCAGACGAGCTCTTTGATGTGGGCATCATTGGCGCGCCTTTCGATACGGCCGTGAGCTACCGCCCCGGTGCCAGATTTGGTCCAAGAGCAATTCGCGCCGCGTCGGCGCGCCAGACGTCCTTCCGGGGCTTCAATCACCGCGCCGGTATCAACCCATACAGCTCCTGGGCAAAGGTCCTCGACTGCGGCGACATCCCAATCACCCCGTTCGACAACAAGCTGGCGCTACACCAGATGACGCTCGGTTACCATGAGCTGCTTTCGCGACCCGCGACGAATCCGGACAAGAAGCCCGTCCTCCTCACTCTGGGCGGCGACCACAGCGTAGCTCTCCCCGCCTTGCGGGCGCTGCGCAAAGCATACCAGGAGCCTATCGCGGTGCTTCACTTTGACGCTCACATGGACACTCTGCATCCGAACAAATACCCCAGCACCTGGACGACAGGCCAGGAGGCCCCCCAGTCCGATTTCACTCACGGTACTATGTTCTGGATTGCCAGTTTCGAGGGGCTGATCCGCAATGGAAGCTCGGTTCACTGTGGTCTTCGCAGCAGGCTAGCTGGGGATGATTTCAGTGACTACGAAGACGACTCGCGGCAGGGTTTCATGAGGATCGAGGCAGATGACATAGACTTAGTCGGCGCGCAAGGGATCATTGACGGTATAATGAAGCGAATGGGTACTGAGATACCCGTCTACATGTCAGTTGATATCGACGTCATCGACCCCGGCCTCGCCCCGGGCACGGGGACACCAGAGCCTGGGGGTTGGACCACCAGGGAGCTGCTTCAGATCATTCGAGGCGTGGGGGGGCTCAATATCGTTGGCGCGGAGGTTGTTGAGGTTTGTCCCGCCTTCGACGGCAGAGGCGAAGAAACAGCACTTGCAGCAGCACAAGTCATCTACGAAATGCTCTCCACCGTGGTATTGAAGGGTATGGAAGAGCGAGGATTGGAGAAGCCGCTAAGAATCGAGTCATGGACGAAGCAGTTTAACACACCAATTCATGGCAATGAAAAGGACGAATTGTGAGATATCATAGGTAGTGAGAGAAAGCTGCCCAGGGCGTTATCCCGGGAAGATTTCCACAAACAATAGACATTTCACAGCCTGTCGAAGTTGATGCTTGGCCTGTGAGAATCAGACGTCGAAGGCTCGCGGGTGTCCTTTTGTTTACGTCGCAAATTAGCACGTCAGTGTAACGTGCTCTGAGCAGTTCAGGGCCGGCTGGGCCGTATGTAGTGTTCTAGCCCCATTCGACCGTAACACAGGCGTCTTGCAGTGGTTGAAGTTGCTCAAACGGTTGTCCCCAGAAGTTGGGTTGTTACGTCAGCTTTTCCCATACCCCTGCCCCTGCTCAGGCTAAGTTTACTACATAGAGCTAGGCGATCGGTCAGGGACAAGCCACAACCCTGCATGCCACATGGTATGATAGGAAAAGTTTGCCCCGCTTTCCAGATATGTTGCGAGTCTGTCGTGTAAGGCAGGTAGGTCCGAGCCGGCCTAGTATCCAAATAGGTAGGCGCACGTACCTAGCTCTAGTAGAGCTTTTTCCACCGAGACCACCATCCATCCCACATCTATCATTACGTGGTACCTTAGATTCCGTGGTGCCGACCTAATCAATCAGGGTAGGGAGGCAATTAGCTGGAAATTTTGTAAATCAATCTGACGCAGGTTCAAATGCCTTAGGCGGGCTAGGTATGGATTAGTAAGGCAACTAATAGGTCGCCGATGACAACACCTGCATCCATTGTCCCGTGCGAGTTCCAATGCCCAACCTTTGACACGCTGCTGAACAAAAGCGAATTGCTGCCAAAAGTGACCGTCCGCTATGCACTCCGTACCGAAACGGCGATCCATCACATTTACGGGGTATGTTTGAAGTGCCCAAGTCCTCGCTGTTACGAAATACGCCTGTGCTCACCACCGGCTCAGTTGCTGGACTTGCAAAGCACGAAAGA